ACACCACTGTGCTGTCTCCGCCTATTGTCCGTTGACCAAGTAGTGGTTCTTCCGCACAATTTCCCGGATCCAGTCTTTACATGCTATGGGGGACAACCCCTTTTTTTCGAAAGTTCTATGCCTTTCGGCTACCCTCACCCTGGAATCGTTGTCTGGGTTGTGGTCGCTGTGCATGTTACAGCCTCTTGGAACCACAGGTGAGAGCTGTACCTTATATAGCAATGCCCTTATAAACACATGTCCCTACGGGACTGAAGTTGACAAGATCACATTCCGTCTGCAAATATTCAGAATCAAAGCTGGCTTTACCTGCACAAGTCGCAACGTGATTTACACCATCCTTAGTAAAAAGTGTGGTAAATTATATATATATATATATATATATATATATGAGAAAAAAGGTCGTCGCCTTGGAGACCGTTTTAGAGAACACCTCTATAACATGCGGTATAAATCAAATCTACAATTTTACATAGCTGCAAAGTCTTTTTCCTGTTTGGTTTTTAATTCTTAATTCCACTCACTTCCTTTCCGTTCTTCTTAACTTTGTTTCTGCCTTAGTTTGGGCCCACTCTAATTCTTTTTTTAGGTAGAATACATGTAAATACATATTAATGTACATTTAATGTAACCTTATTTCAATGTTTTGATTTTTGTACCGACAAAAGAATTAGCCTAAATATTTACATTTGTATGATGTAAAATCATCATTAAAGATGAACATTTAGTCTTTTATTTACACAAATTGTTTGTGTCTAATTAATCTAATTTATATAGCAAGGTAATTATAAACAATGCACGTTATGTAGCAAGGTCATTCTAAACAAACAGTTTTATAAGCAAGTTCATTCTAAAAATGCGCCTTCTGTCACAAGGTCATTCTAAACAAACAGTTTTATGAGCAAGTTCATTCTAAAAATGCGCCTTCTGTCACAAGGTCATTCTAAACAAACAGTTTTATGAGCAATTTCATTCTAAAAATGCGCCTTCTGTCAAAAGGTCATTCTAAACAAACAGTTTTATGAGCAAGTTCATTCTAAAAATGCGCCTTCTGTCACAAGTTCATTTTAAACAAACAGTTTTATGAGCAAGTTCATTCTAAAAATGCGCCTTCTGTCAAAAGGTCATTCTAAACAAACAGTTTTATGAGCAAGTTCATTCTAAAAATGCGCCTTCTGTCACAAGGTCATTCTAAACAAAACATCTTTAGCAAGGTCCTTTAAACAATGCGCTTCATCTAGCAAAGTCATTCTAAACAATGTGTCTTAAGTAGCAAAGTCATGTTAAACAATGTGTCTTAAGTAGCAAAGTCATGTTAAACAATGCACCTTATATAGCAAGCTCCTTATAAAAATGCGCCTTAGGTAGCAAGGTCATGCTAAACAATGTACCTAAAGTTGCAAGGTCATTCTAACAAGCGTTTCATCTAGCAAGGTCATTCTAAACAAAGCATTTTATGTAGCAAGATAATTCTAAACAGTGTGCCTTATTTAGCATAATTCTTTACTTTTGCTCCATTCACCATATATCACAATAGCGCAATAGAACACGATGGAGCACAATATAGTACAATTTTTCAAAAGCAAATAAATAAGATATAATACATAAGGGCATACAATAGCACAGAAGAGCGCAATATAGCACATTAGAGCACAATTGAATACACTTTAGCACAAAAGAGCACAATATAGCCTCATAGCACAATATAGCACAATACCTCAATATAGCACAATAGCACAATATAACACAATAGCATAATATTGCAAAATAGAGCACTCTATAGCAAAATAGAGCACAATAGAGCACAATAGAGCACACTATAGCATAATAGAGCACAATATAGCACAATAGCACAATATAACACAATATAGCACAATAGAGCACAATAGAGCACAATAGAGCACAATAGAGCACAATATAGCACAATAATAATAATAATAAAAAGACGTCGTATATAGCGCGGTACCCCAGCAGCCTAGGGCTGGGCTCACTGCGCTGTACATAAAAATTTTATCAAAAGAGACATAATCATGAGATTAAAATAAAATACATTTAAGAAATGAAGAACAGCAAAAAAATGTATGGTCCCACACCCCACCACATAACTTTTACAAGGCAAACCATGGACGGCAGCCAGCAAGATCGTTTATCGGTCAGAGGAGGGGAATCGCTCAGGGTAGTATAATTTAAAACAATACCACAATATAGCACAATATAGCACACTACCACAAGAGAGCAAAATCTAGCACAAATAGAGCACATACGTCACAAATAATACCAACCTCGTTGATTATAGCACCCAGCTGGAACGCCGTTGATTCTTGCAGCTAACTCCATTCTCGCACCTATTGGTATGTTTGGGGCCCCCTAATACAAATACCATGTTTGAGTAGAGCATAGTTAAGCATGGTGCAATCACATATCTCATAATGAGTTCATTTACAGCGGATAACTATCTTGGTTTGTCATGACTTTGGTAACCACAAATCTAGTGACACACTAAGCAATGCAGGTTGCCATATAAAATAGCATGTTTCAGAATATAGGTTTCTAATCGCCAAGACATATATTTTCTATGTCACAAATGTGTCTTGCAATTAGATATTTAGGATTCCCGAGCAGGCCCGCACGTAAGGGGGGGGGGGGGGGGCAACCATGGCAAATGTCAGGGGTCAGAGCTGGATAGGGAACCCCCTTTTTCGAGTTTTTTAAAATATACGCACATGTTTGAAAGTCGAAAGGGGCTCGAACTCTGTCGGCTGTCTGGAGTAAGAAACTTGCTAGGTGTGGATCTGCCCCGATGAATTAGCGTTTGTTTGTTTCCTTGTTTGTTTGTGTTTCAAATGTAATAGTTATGTAGCACACATTCCCCGTGCGTGAACTTTGCTTGACCTAATTAGATCCCTAGCAGACGGTAGCGTTTGTTGTGGAAGTGGTTTAAATTCTCTTTGATGTATCTTGTTTACAACTACTGCCAATTACAAATTGGGTAGTATGTCTCCTGGTATCTTTTCGAAACTTCTCGATAACCCGAGAAATGCAAACAACACGTCATAATTCTTTTCTGGAAGCGCCTTACGCTACACGTATACAAGGGTTTGACAGATACGGAGATTCAGGGAGATTCAGGTAGGTTTTATGAATTTCACGAGACGTGTATTAATTCTTTGTGTTCGTTTATATGTGTTTATTTCGCATTTCATCATTATTCATTGGCACACTATACGTACTGTGTTGACTGTGTACCGGTACAAGATCTACCATGTAAGTTGATGATTTGTAATAATATTTCTTTTCTTTTGCAATTACATTAATTCTTAATAACTCTTATTAATTGTAACTAGCAACTGTTTTGCGTGTCGTTTCTTTAATATTGTTAACTCTATGGTATCGTCCTTTGTTAGGCACTGTTTGAACAAGCCATACAATTAAAAATAAGAGATTAATTTCTCACAATAGAAGCCAGTGCGTAACATTAATATTGCCCTACTTTTTATGGTAATTACAGATCTTCGGGGCACCGGAGGGGGCATTGCGATGTGTGCTAGTAAATAGATTTGCGAGCCACACTTAAGGTATTTCAGAATAATTAATGTTGTTTTTTTTTAATTTAAAGAAATTTAATAAAGGATAATATTTGAGGAAATTTATATAGGTTTGGGATAGTCTTAAGTATTGTGTGCAGTGAAGCTAACGAATCGTCAGAAAAAGACAAAGAGGATTGCATCGTAAAGTAGTTTCAAATTTTTTTTTTAATTTGAGGACAGCAAAAGCCAAACAATCAAATTTTTTATCATTAAATGTTGAAGTTTTGTACATAGAATCCTTTTTTTAAACAACCTTAACGACTAAGTTATAGAATCACAATGTAGCTCAAAAGTGGATTTCCCTATTGGCACAAGGACTAAAGATATAAGTAGTTTAAATGGAAATGTGTATGGTCTAGTTTTTAACATTTAATAAAAAAAAGGCTATGAAACTTTTGTAGAAATGAAAAAAATATGTGAAAAATATTACCAAAATAGATTTTATTGATTTTATTTTACAATCAAATTATGATAAAAGAAAAACCTACCACAGCTATATCTCTGGCACTGGGGAAAAAAGAAACAATATACGTAATTTAAATACTTAGATGGTGTTTGACTGGATCCTGAGTTGACTAGATGGTACGTTGACTAGATGGTGTGTTGACTAGATGGTGTGTTGACTAGATGGTGTGTTGACTAGATGGTGTGTTGACTAGATGGTGTGTTGACTAGATGGTGTGTTGACTAGATGGTGTGTTGACTAGATGGTGTGTTGACTAGATGGTGTGTTGGTATCTACCCATTAGCACTTCAGCCTTAAATCTTCCTCTGTCTAGCCATTAGCACTACATGATTAAATCTTCCTCTGTCTAGCTATTAGCACTGCAGGCTTAAATCTTTTTCTGTCTAGCTCTTAGCACTGCAGGCTTAAATCTTTCTCGGTCTAGCCATTAGCACTGCAGGCTTAAATCTTTCTCTGTCTAGCTATTAGCACTGCAGGCTTAAATCTTTCTCGGTCTAGCCATTAGCACTGCAGGCTTAAATCTTTCTCTGTCTAGCTCTTAGCACTGCAGGCTTAAATCTTTCTCTGTCTTTCCATTCGCACTGCAGGCTTAAATCTTTCTCTGTCTATATATTAGCACTGCAGTCTTACATCTTTCTCTGTCTAGCTATTAGCACTGCGGGCTTAAATCTTTCTGTCTAGCTATTAGCACTGCGGGCTTAAATCTCTCTGTCTAGTCATTAGCACTGCAGGCTTAAATCTCTCTGTCTAGCTATTAACAGTGCGGGCTTAAATCTCTCTTTCTAGCCAATAGCACTGCAGGCTTAAATCTCTTTGCTTAGATATTAGCACTGCGGGCTTAAATCTCTCTGTCTAGCCATTAGCACTGCGGGCTTAAATCTCTCTGTCTAGTCATTAGCACTGCACATTTAAATCGTGTACAGAATCAAAAAATCATAATAAAATAACTAGCAAGTAAAAAAAAATGACTTGTACCTATCATCAGGGGGATTGGGGCTGAAGCAGTTGATCCCGTTACAGTTGTGATTGTCTTTAGGCTCCATCTTAGGCCCCTTTTTCGGTGGCAATATGTGGTCAACTTTGACAAGATAGTTACATTTATGGCATATGCTTTTTGTCATACCCATAGTTGCCTTGCCCCTGAATGAAATAAAAGAGTTTTTTTAGAAGATATATATTACACAAATTGTTCACTCCCAGCACAATAACTGCCTAAAAGCCTAAAATATATCTACTGAAATATGAAGTGTTGTACACAATCTATAGCCGCTTGTCAGATCATTTAAACTATAACTTTTTATTTGAAAATATGACAATCTGATAAACTAAGTAACGGCGTCCTGATTTATCATGACCATTTCCATCTAACCTGGTTGATCATGAGTGTGTCAAACGTGTTCAATCTAACCTGGTTTATCATGACAGTGTCAAACTAGTTCCCTCTAACCTGGTTTATAATGACAGTTTCAAACGAGTTCCATCTAACTTGATTTATAATGACATTAAGAAACTAGTTTCATCGAACCACGAACTCTATTAAGACCATTCAGTTAACATTGACTTCGTATTTACACATTTCTGATAATTTTAGCTTGTGTTTTATTAGTATGATAATCAATTTGATAAAACGAACATAAGTAAGTAATAATATGAAGTACAGATGATTAACTTACTTTTTACCTGATTCTCCCGGCATACAAAACAATGATTAATTTAAAATTAATATTGAAATTGGTCAAATCATTTAAAATATTTTAAGATATTACAGTTTCATTGTAAAGAAACTAACTTAAACTCATTTCGGCAATGTTGGTTTGGGCAATTAAAGACTCCCAGGCCCCATTCCAGGTGTCGTGGAATCGGCTCATACTTTTGATGACACTTGTAACATTTAGACACCTGTGAATGAAGGGGTCAAGGCCGCAGCCAGTTAATTTACTCTACAACTAACTGTAACAGAGAGAGGCTTAATTTTCAGAATGTGATAAATTACTTAACAGTGTTTCTGAATGTTAGTGGCGTTACTGCTCCTAGTATGATTCTATTCGATACACATCTTGTTCTGGCTAAAAACAATAGTTACTTAAAATAAATGCCGTGCTAAAGCAAAAGTAAGCTCTTATGAAATATTATTCGATCTAAACTAAACAAACAGCACCTTCTTTCGATTCGGCACTCTCTTCCACCAACTTCTTTCACAGGGTTGACAAGCAAATAAGTGGTCCGCGGAGTCGCTTTCAAGTTCCTCTACTAAGCGAATGTTTAACATCTCCGACTCCGCGCGGAGAGTTTCAATATAATCATCGCTCTATTTGGAAAATATCAACCATACACTCAGAGCAAATTGTTAGTTTTACCAAATGATTTATTAATAGATATTAAACGATTCAAAGATTACTCTTTTTTTTGAAGAGGTAATTCACTTTCATTACTTGATACCTAACACTTTATATAATCTCTACCAGGCAGTACACATTATATAATCTCTACCAGGCAGTATACATTATATAATCTCTACCAGGCAGTATAAATTATATAATCTCTACCATGCAGTATACATTATATAATCTCTACCAGGCAGTATACATTATATAATCTCTACCAGGCAGTATAAATTATATAATCTCTACCATGCAGTATACATTATATAATCTCTACCAGGCAGTATACATTATATAATCGCTACCGGGCACTATACATTATATAATCTCTACCATGCAGTATACATTTATATAATCTCTACCAGGCAGTATACATTATATAATCTCAACCGGACAGTACACATTATATAATCTCTATCAGGCAGTATACATTATATAATCTCTACCAGGCAGTATACATTATATAATCTCTACCAGGCAGTATACATTATATAATCTCTACCAGGCAGTATTCATTATATAATCTCAACCGGACAGTATACTTTATATAATCTATACCAGGCCGTATACATTATATAATCTCTACCAGGCAGTATACATTATATAATCGCTACCGGGCAGTATACATTATATAATCTCTACCATGCAGTATACATTATATAATATCTACCAGGCAGTATACATCATATAATCTCTACCAGGCAGTATACATTATATAATCTCTACCAGGCAGTATACATTATATAATCTCTACCAGGCAGTATACATTATATAATCTCTACCAGGCAGTATACATTATATAATCTCTACCAGGCAGTATACATTATATAATCGCTACCGAGCACTATACATTATATAATCTCTACCATGCAGTATACATTTATATAATCTCTACCAGGCAGTATACATTATATAATCTCAACCGGACAGTATACATTATATAATCTCTATCAGGCAGTATACATTATATAATCTCTACCAGGCAGTATACATTATATAATCTCTACCAGGCAGTATTCATTATATAATCTCAACCGGACAGTATACTTTACATAATCTCTACCAGGCCGTATACATTATATAATCTCTACCAGGCAGTATACATTATATAATCGCTACCGGGCAGTATACATTATATAATCTCTACCATGCAGTATACATTATATAATCTCTACCAGGCAGTATACATCATATAATCTCTACCAGGCAGTATACATTATATAATCTCTACCAGGCAGTATACATTATATAATCTCTACCAGACAGTATACATTATATAATCTCTACCAGGCAGTATACATTATATAATCTCTACCATGCAGTATACATTATATAATCTCTACCAGTGAGTATACCTTATTGTATATTTTGTTTAAATTACTACACCGCGTCTTTTAATTTACTAAGAGAAAGGATGACCAGAGAAAGGATGACCAGAGAAAGGATGACCAGTGAAAGGATGACCAGAGAAAGGATGACCAGAGAAAGGATGACCAGCGAAAGGATGACCAGAGAAAGGATGACCAGAGAAAGGAGGACCAGAGAAAGATGACCAGAGAAAGAATGACCAGAGAAAGGATGACCAGTGAAGCCAAAATATTCTCTACCCTGAATAAAATTGTTATCTTACCTACCCTGTTAAGTATCCGGTTAATTTCTGCTGGGTCATCTGAAATGTTTTATTAAAATGTTTTAAAATACTTTTTCAGACTAATTTTTCCCTGATAACTGCACTCAGGGCGGGACTAATGTCCTCAGGGAGGACTGGTGAGGACATAACCAAAGAAAACAACACATGTAACCACAGTAAAACAATACATATATATATTTTAAATATAAAATAAGGGGAAAAAAAACTAAAAATGCGAAAGAATTAAAAAGATGTAGTAATTACTATAATATGGTCAACGAATTTAACATTCTTTCTGCTACGCTTTCAATTTAAAGAAACAAACATTGACACAATGAAAGTCAAGACTTGTCAATATTTCTGACTGGATATTTAAAAGAGTTAATTTTGCCAATCGACCTGGCGAGTGGCTGACCTCAACGAAGAGTTTTGTTTTCATTTTAAATGACCGAACGATCTTTCTCCACTGCATGCGATGTTAAGTGAATTCTCAGCACGATACCGGTGCAAACATTTTTGAGAACCACTGGTGTAGACAATAGCGGTACATTATATGCAGCTGACGACTGACCAAAGCTTCTTATACAGTCCACAAAGCAGCATTTCTGTCTGTGTCATGTTTTAAGCAGACTGAGTAGTATTGTCTGTCTTTATTGGTAGGTCTATGGACATGGACGTTTCAGACTTATTCATATCATTGATGACACCAACAGTGTCTTTAACACTGGTGCTGAGCTGCACCCTGCTTCAGCATGTAAATTGATACCATTTATACAAATATATATATAATTTTTATTTGCAATAATCTATACAACAATGAAATATAAGATATAGGGCGTTGTTAAAATTATACACACAAAAATGTTGTGAACAGAGGAAGTAACACCAAATATCAGCGCCAACAAGTCAAAGAAACAAGCTGTTACGTTGAGAAATACTTTGACGAAGACACATAAAGCTAACGCCTCTGTTCAGCTTGATGTCGAGATTGTGATGACGAGCTACAGGTAAAACAACATGGCCTCTCACATCTCAACGCGAGAACCACCGGCCCCAAGTATTGACAACAACGGGGATGCAACTGTAACAATACAACAACGATGACATCACAACGCAAGTAATAATAGAACGAAAAACAAATTAGGCACATTGTAATACAAAAAAATTTTTCACTTATTCGGATAAGAAAATAATCCAATTTTAATCTAATTTTATCTCAAATATCCGATACCCCCGCAGCAGGGGCTGTAGGGATCAAGTGGTGGCTCTGTGAAATGTGCATTGAATTTATCTAATAAAATTTAGATTCAATCATCAACATCAACTTTTTAAATTATTTTGTCAACATTATAGTAAACCTAAGTCTAGTCAGTCTACTTCTGGTCAGCCTACATCTGGTCAGCCTACGTCTGGCGTCTGGTCAGCCTAAGTCTGGTCAGCCAGAGTCTGGTCAGCCTACGTCTTGTCAGCCTAATTCTCGTCAGCCTAAGTCTCGTTAACCTAATTCTGGTCAGTCTAAGTCTCGCTAGCCTACGTCTGGTCAGCCTACCTCTCGTCACCCATTTATGAATCTCTAAACATTATTTCAATAAGGTTACCTACTATTAAAAATAAAATCAGCTGCCTCCGCCACGCCCCCTAGCTGTTGAATGAGCCTGATTGCCTCTTCCTGTCTGAAGCGACCCCGAAATAACTCTCTCAATCGACGAGGCTGTAGAAATGATAAAGAAAGAGATTTAGATCTAGATGTAAATGTCAAGAAGAATTAAGATAATTTTTTTTTTTAAATACATTTATACCATCTATGAACAAAACTAATCATACCATATTAGTTTTTGGCTTAGAACCTGGCGGTCTTTTCTTGGGGGCCGTCCGCGCTCCGGGAAAAAGGAGGTGGGGGGGTCTACGAAAGTCTGACAATTTGTGCACCGAGGTGAGGGTGGGGTAAAGATCTTGTGTGACGTCAAACATTGTGTAATTTTTTTTTTTAGCACGCAAACTAAAACGTATAATTGACAGTGATGTTAAGTGTCTGATGTGACAGATAGGTTTGGACATAAGATTTCACTTTCATACATTGCCTAGTTTAATTGTAAGTGTATTTTAGATTAAAGTTTAATTTGAAGTTTAAAATATATATATATAATCAAAAGTGTGACGTGCTCTAAAGAAAAAAAAAGTGGCGGTGGGGGCTGGAGGCTCTGAGATTTCCGAAAGATTGACAGGGGGGGGGGGGGGGGGGTACAAATAGCATGACGCACCTGGTGGTCTTTACTTGACGTTCTTTATGTCCCTACGCATACAATTTTAGCTTAGTAACAATAAATATAGCATTTTATGGAAACCAAGTTCTGATGTTGACAATGCTTACAAGACTCTATAATATAGCCGGGAAAATAGATTCTTTTAATTTTAAAAATTGTGATGGAAATGGGGACATATTACAAAACTGGCCAAACGGGGACATATTAAAAAAACTGGCCAAACGGGGACATATTACAAAACTGGCCAAACGGGGACATATTACAAAATCGGCCAAACCAGGACATATTACCAAACTAGCCAAACGGGGACATATTACAAAACTGGCCAAACGGGGACATAATTACCAAACCGGGACATGTTACCAAACTGGCCAAACGGGGACATAATTACCAAACCGGTAAACCGGAACATATTACCAAACTGGCCAAACGGGCAGATATTACCAAACCGGGACATATTACAAAACTCGACAAACCGGGAATATTACCAAACTGGCTAAACGGGGAATATTACCAAAACCGGGACATATTACCAAACTGGCCAAACGGGGACATATTACCAAACCGGGACATATTACAAAACCCGCCAAAAGGGGACATATGACCAAATCGGCCAAACCGGGATATATTACCAAACTGCCCAAACGGGACATATTACCAAACTGGCCAAACGGGGACATATTACCAAACTGGCCAAACGGGGAATATTACCAAAGCGGGACATATTACAAAACCCGTCAAACGGGGAATATTACCAAAGCGGGACATATTACAAAACCCGTCAAACGGGGACATATTACCAAATCGGCCAAACCGGGATATATTACCAAACTGCCCAAACGGGACATATTACAAAACCGTGACATATTACCAAAACTGCCAAGTTGGGAGATATTACCAAATCGGCCAAACCGGGACCTATTACCAAACTGGCTAAACGAGGACATATTAACAAACTGGCCAAACGGGGACATATTACCTAACCGACCAAACGGAGACATATTACCAATCTGGCCTAACCAGGGTATAGTACAAAATCAGCCGTGATGCCCGGGAAAGGTTTTCAAAACGGGACGATCTTTGTCAAACCGTTCTGTATGGTAAGTTTAGTCAAAACTCTGAATGTATTTATACTTGACATAGATAAATAAAATTTTAAACTATAAATATAGTAGAGACAATCATTGGGTAATCTTTGCTTACCATTTGGTGAGATACAGATAGAGTCTTTCAATAATATGGATAGCTAGGTAATGGCACATTTATTTCAAGTGCATAGCTGTTGACCTTCGCCTTCACGCTTTGATACAGGACTAATCTTTTCTCTGTAGACTAGTTAATTTATTGCTTCACTGAAAAATCAGGAAATTGTTGCGAGAGTACTGTTACGCACTGTTATCAGTAGGGAGAAATTAATCTCCTAGTTACATCTATGGCTCGTTCCAAAAGAGTGCATAACAAAAGACGATAAATGATAAAAACAATAACAGAGAATACGATACTCGAAACAGGGCTAAGAACAATTCATAAGTCTTATTAAATTAATAATAAAGTACAACAGTCAAAAAGAAATATAATTAAAAAATATTGACTTACAGGATATTGTGTGACTGGTATCAGTACAATGTCTAATAAAAAAACACAATGTGCAAAGAGGTAAAAATAATGAAAGGAAGTCTACTGTAAACAAAGCACGCAAATGTTCTAAACAGGGCCATCTATGGAACATAGGGGGCCCTGGGCACAGCAATGCTCTAGGGCCCCCAGCAACACAACACACCAGGGTTGTTAGAAGGGGGGCGAAGTGGGGCACTCGCCCCATCCTCAAGCAATTGAGGGGGAGAGGGTGGTGCAAACAGTTGTTGCTGATGATGATAAATTATCAGGTTCTCCATTTTATTACTTTGGTGTTTTTTTTGCCTCACGCCTCGTTTTTTCTTTTCCTCATCAGTGTCAGCTGATACAGAGTCAGCTGATACAGAGTCCAGAGTCAGCTGATACAGAGTCCAGAGTCAGCTGATACAGAGTCCAGAGCATCTTGTATTTTGTTTTTGAAACGTTGACGGCATCAAAATGTGCCGACCATCTTGTGTCAGACAGATGCTTTAAGACAACGAGAGATTTTCCTAGCGAAGATACCAGAACATTCCATCGATGTGTAGAAGTAAGGAAAATGGTATATAGGCGCTGAACAAAGTCAAAGAATTGTCCAACTTGTAGACAACACTCTGCTGCTTTTAACCCCGCTAAGTTCAAGCTGTGTCCGGCACAAGGGACATACACGGCAAACTCGTGCTTGCAATCCAGTGTAGCGTCCAGACATATACATTTTAAGCTTTGTCATACGATTGACCACGGCAAATTGAAGGCGGAATTTTGTTCTCATTCAGGAAATTCAAAACATTGTCTGCTAGATCCTTTGATACTTTGATACACAACAGTGTCTGTTAGATCCTTTGATACACAAAAGCGTCTGTTTGATCCTTTGAGACACAACATTGTCTGCTAGATCCTTTGATTACACAACAGTGTCTGTTAGATCCTTTGATACACAACAGTGTCTGTTAGATCCTTTGATACACAAAAGCGTCTGTTTGATCCTCTGATACACAACAGTGTCTGTTAGATCCTTTGAGACACAACATTGTCTGCTAGATCCTTAGATTACACAACAGTGTCTGTTTCATCCTTTGATACACAACAGTGTCTAATAGATCCTTTGATACACAAAAGCGTCTGTTTGATCCTTTGATACACAACAGTGTCTGTTAGATCCTTTGCTCCATGGGAAAATATGGAAATTAACTTGAAAAAAATTCCACAGACTTACACCCTCGAATATCCTGAACCGTAAATGACAGTTGATCAATGTGAGAAATGTCTGAAGTGGAATCATAACTTACTGAATAATACTTTGACTCTTTCATTTCTTCGAGAATAGCAAAAAGGACATGTTGCCCCATTAGATCAATAAATTTTTCTCAAATATTTGACGACAGATATGATGTGTTACCCTTTCCAGCATTTCCATTCAGTTTTAGATACTCTTCCAAAAAAGGGTTAAATTCGCTCAGCAGCTCTAAAATACCTAAAGAATGTCCATAGTTTACTGACCCAATAGTTTGACCCAATCCTCTGGAGGCAAGCAAGCAAACGACATAAACCCCACGAGTCAGAACTTGATGCCAGTGCTTCTGTTTTGACCTGTGGTCTTTGATTAATAAAGGACCTAAACACCTTCTTCTTCTTCTATATCTTAAGGGCCCACGATAAATTTATTGATCATTTTGGCTCCTATGCATGTAGATGGGATTTGCAATGTTTCTGTGCCTGGTGTTGACGAGGAAATTTCACTGATTTCCAGTGCCACTTTGTGAGGGAATCATGCACTAGGGGTTTGAAGGCTTGAGGCCATAGACTCAAATGTGTCTAGTGTTGTTGCCTCAACTGTTCCTTTTGAAAGCTTGTTCCAGTCCCTGATTGTCTTGGGCAGGAATGAGCAGCTCCTATACTGGCTTCTTGCTGGTATGAGCCTGAATTGCCTGTCATGGCCTCGTCGCTGTCTATGGGGGAGAAGGACGAGTTCCTTTTTAATACTTGAACAGTGGACCAGCCCATTATTTATCTTGTACCTCATGGAGAGCCTGGATTGTCGTCGTCGTTCCTCCAATGGTGACCAGCCTAGACTTTCCAGCATGCTGCCAACACTAGAGGTATTCCTGTTGCGTTTTAGGACAAAGCGTGCTGCTCGTCGCTGGACCGCCTCCAACCTGTCAATGCTCTTCTAGGTAAATGGGTCCCAGGCTGAAGATGCATAATCTAAAACCGGACGGACAAAGGCTCTATATGCTCTTTCTTTTACACAGGAGTTGCCAATCTTTAGATTTCGCCTAGCTTCTTTCAGTCGAAGAAAACATGCAGTCATGTCCTTGCGATGCACTACTCCATTTCCATGTTCTACATTTAGATTGTTATGTTTCCAGTACTTAAATCCTGATATAGCAAAGGGAAATACTTTTTTGGAAAATAAACGACACGCAAAACAATACAAACAACCTTGGTATGGTGAATAGAGAAGCCAAAACAATACAAACAACCTTGGTATGGTGAATAGAGAAGCCAAAACAATACAAACAACCTTGGTATGGTGAATAGAGAAGCCATTCAAGTTTTACATACTCGCCATTCCGCAGTTCACGTTTGAACATATTTCTTGATAAATACATTGTCTTGGTTCTTTCTTCTCCAGCTCTGCCTGAGTTTGAAAGGTTACAGTCATGATTCTGACACAATGATGGCCCACCGCGAATTCAGTACTCAACTGTACAAATGTTCTTAATATTCCAAAGTCCGGGATCTGTGTGGAGAATCACACACTCTCGTTTTCTGACACAGTTCTGCGTGGTGAATCACCGACTCTCGTTTTCTGACACAGCTTTGTGTGTTGAATCACACACTCTCGTTTTCTGACACAGCTTCGTGTGTTGAATCACAGACTCTCGTACACTGACACAGCTTTGTGTGTCTCAATTTTTACACTTTCCCCAGCAGAGAAAATAGGTTATGGTATTGTCTGGAACTAGATGGCTGGGTCCAATAGAGTATGTAGATGAAACTTTTTTATTTTGATGAGCAGTATTAGTCATTGATATTTCGATTGGATTTAACCAAGATGTTAATTTTGCAGGTTTACCCGTTTTCCTTGTCTCCTCTGCTCTTTTTCTCTTCTGTGCTCTAATTATAAAACTAATCTTTCATTCCCGATTAAGGGGTTAAACACCTAGAAATATATTCTTTGGTTACAAGTATTTCTATGGTAATAGCAGCGATCCGTTTAAAAGATACAGGTAATTATTTTTACAAAAATGGATTTGTCTGTCCCTTCAGACTGACACGTGCCCTGCTAAAAACGAACATCGAGAAATGATCAATAGAAATGATCAATAGAAATGATCAATAGAAATGATCAATAGAAATGATCAATAGAAATGATCAATAGAAATGATCAATAGAAATGGTGCCATTAATAAAATCGATCTCTGTGTTTGAGCTACCCGTATGCAAGATGAAAATTACGCTGAGCTTGAAACAGTGAGCACAAATTATGTCTAAATGCCTGTAATATTTCTGCCTACTGCTCAGACATGCGGTGACTGTTGGGTTCTATTTATCATCTAAATATGTTTTTTCGGACACAGAATACCAAATATTTTTCTGTTGAAAAATTATTATGTTTTTTGGGTTTTGTTTTTCTGTTTTTAAAAATTAAGTTACTTTTTAAAAGAATTATGAATTATTCATTGGTGACCTACACATTCCTGATATAATGCTAATTAAATTTAGTAGCACTTGAACTGGTGCTAAGATAGATTTTTCTCCACTAATTTCACCACGGAGCAGAGGCGTATCTAGGGTTATTACCACCCGGGCCAAAATATGTATCTAACATGATTGTAGACAAATACACTAACTTTATTATTTTTCGATTCATATCCAGGAGAAGTAAAACTTGTTGACGAGAGTTATTCCCCTTTAAAAGTTTAAAAGTATCCAACTTGTTATTCGCATTTATAATATTAATTTTGGAACGTGCCGATAAAATAGTGGGCTAAAACTGGGAAACGTGCTGTCCACTGATTTTTAAATCAAATTTAATTGCCAAAACGTTTCACTATTCATTAACAATATTTGCAACATGAAGCCTTTATAAGAGTGAGTCTCCTAGGAGCAAGGGGCCCCCTTAGAAGCGTGGGGCCCTGGGCAAGTGCCCACTGTGCCCATGCCTTAAGACGGCACGGGTTCTAAAATAACTCTCTCAAGCTGTCTGCGCCTTTGCTCTGTGCTGTGTGCCATTCGCTGTAGTTATAGTCAATTTCATCGATGGTTCGAGATCAGAAAGCGTATCATAATGGGGACTCAAATGGGGACTGTTCTACCGCATTCGACTCTAGAAACAGGCGATAGATTGGTTTGTGCTAAAGAAGATCAAAGGGAGTAAGCCACACCCAATGCTAACGCAGGAGAACTGGTGTCGGATTAAGGCCGTTCACCAGAAAAAAACAATTATATGAAAATATATAAAATACAACGCATATATATAACAATAAAGAAAAACTTCTCTGATAATCCCATGTAATCAGTAGTTCCAAAATTTCAGCATTTCCTAATCCAACTGTATCCCTGTTTCTTCGCGGTCATAGTTTAGTTATTAAAAATTCACAAGTCGGAGTTTCAAAATTATGGCCGGGAAAAAAAACAACAAAAAAACTTTTGAATCCTTGGGCGCCTACTGGATTTTGATGTTTCAGAAAATACTTCAGTCCTAATCTAAAGTCAAACAATACAGTCAAATCTAAAGTAAAACAATGCAGTCAAATGCAAAGTCAAACAATACAGTCAAAAGCATAGCTTCAAGTTGCTCCGAAAATTACCATTTTTGTGGTAAAACATAAGAATGTGTACACAAAAATGGTCAATATTAATTTTTGGAAGCTGTGAAGCAAAAATATCCCAATATCCGTATAACCTATTCTATGTGACAATGCCATTTGGCAATGAGGCATGGACATTATAGTCTTAGATTATTATGTGGCTTTCTCACCAGTGCTCCTGCTGAACATATTAAAACAAGCAAGTGGAAATCATAAACATTGGAATTTTCTGTTGTGCTTCTTCTCAATGGATCTTCGTACAATTTTTACAAAGTTCTTAGGGTAAGGAACTTGTTGGTCACATCATATTAGGTAAAACTTATAAGGACTCTACATAAATTCACGGACGGTTGACAGTTGATAGTGAAACCGAAGGAACATCAAAGGAACCAGGGAGTTCCTAGAGTTTCTGGAATTTCATGGAGCTCAATATCAAGACGTGTCCGCATTTTTCTGTCTGGGCTTTCACACATAGCGTTGACCACGGAGGTGAGGAGGGGTTTGCCGCAGGTTAGTGGAGTTTTCTAGTCAAAGGTTTTCTTCTGTTTGATGAGCCACCATTCGGTGTTGATGAGCCGCAATTCAGTGCGGACGAGCCACCATTTAGTGTTAATGAGCCATTATTCGGTATTGATGAGCCACAATTCAGTGTTGATGAGCCCCCATTCAGTGTTTATGATCCATCAATTAATTTTGATGAGCCAACATTCGGTGTTGATGAGCCATCATTCGTTATTGATTAGTCACTATTTGGTGTTGATGATCCACCATTCAGTGTTTAAGAGCCACCATTCAGTGTTTATGAGCCACCATTCAGTGTTTATGAGTGACCATTCAGTGTTAAAGAACCACCATTCAGTGTTTATGAGCCACCATTCAGTGTTTATGAGCCACCATTCAGTGTTGATGAATATCATCTAGCTAAATGCCCAGATTGTGTGGATGTCTGTTGCTGTTTGTGTATGTTTGTGTGTGTTTGTTTGTGTTTGTGTTTAAGACTAAGGGAGAGAGAGAGAGGGAGAGAAAGAGAAAGAGAGTGAGAGAGTGAGTGATTGGGTGAGAAGAATGAGGAAGGGTGGGAAAAGGAGAGGTTTGGAAAATGAAATATATACATATATAATTAGTCATTTTTTTTTTAAATTGAACATGTGCATTATCTGTAGCTTGATGTCAATGGTACACATGTACACCGTCTGCTGTCCCCTGCCCACTTGATCTCAATAATACACATGTGCACCACTTAAGTTTCCCTACCCACGCTATGTTAATGGTACATGCACACCATCTGTTGTTCCCTGCTCATAAGCACATGTTTGTACTACTAACAGCTAATATACAACGGCTGATGATACAGACGTAACTAAATTTAACACTTGTTACGTTTAAATTTCCATGTAAAATACATTCTATCATATGAGTGCATCAGTCTAATTTCGGATTCTTTTGAAACATATATAACTCTAACGAGAACCCGGCATGCGTTGCAATGTCACTCAAATTTTTTTAAAAATGTGTTGGTGATTTAATTATGATTTTGAAGTAATTTTTAAATAGAAAATATTTTTTGTTTTTTTTAAGTCTGGTGCGTATATAAATTAATTAGGTTTTTCGACGCGTGAGCAGGCAACATACAGCTGTCCGCGTGAGAAGCTTGGCCGTTCAACATTTAGTCCACACACTTGTAACGATTGATCCACCCATGCTGCAGCTCTTTTTAGAATTATATTTATATAGCTCACAAAATAAAAGTATAATCAATTAAGACATCCCGGTCCCAAAACGCAAAATTGTTACATGTTTGTACTAATTCAGAAACCTACTAATTGTGTCACACGCGAACTGAAATGTTACTAGTTTTATTTGATTCAATTCCATCCACCCATGCAACAGCTCTGGTTGAAATTATATTTGTATATCTCCTGTAAGAAACAAATAATTTAGGGCTCCCGGCCCCAAAGGGATTATTTCAAAATGGATAACTTAATTCAGAAATCTCTGCGGGCGTGCGCACAACGACCTTTTGAGGTGTAACTTACTAGGTTAAAACACTTAACACAACATTATAAAATATTGCCTGGGGCACAAATGGAGATTTACTGCCACATTTTTATGATAGAATCGTATGAACAGGGCCGTTACGAGGAAAACTTGCGCCAGTGGCGAAAGCATGAAAATAGACCCGCACCCCGTTGCATCAGTAAATGAGATAAGATCATTTTTTTTTCTTCAGAGAATTCATTCTGGATCTAAGGGGGAGGGGGAGGAGGGGGGCATTTGAGATGTTCGGGTGGGCATTGCCAGCGATATAAGAAGGGTGGGGCGAGGGGCTTTTTCCTTTTATGAACGACGCAGCCTACTGCCTGGGTTTCTTTCAACTATATCTCGGGGGGGGGGCGAATGCCCCCCCGGGTAAAGCCCAGTGCCCCCCGGAGGAAAAAAATTTCCGACAATAAATCAACTGGCACCGCCCCCCCCCCCCCGGGAAAAATTTCTTAAATAATCGCTGCCTACTGAATAGTTTTCATCACAAAAGGGGCGGCACAAATACTGCCCACTCCACCCAGTGTGGCACTTACCCTATCTGTGATACTGGGTGGCGCTAAAATTAGGCATAAAAGCAATCATGATCTGCTATAACACCACCCCCCCCCCTTGTCCAAAATAATCCAAATTCATTTTAATTGAGGTGTTTACTGTAAGCTCCAGCAAAGTCTCGCCACTAGAATCTACCTATGGCCCAACTCACTAGACACAATTTAATGAAAATTATATTCATCTTATTTACTAATTTTTTTCTATAAAGTTGCGAACACTGTCCTTTTGTTAAAGAGGGGCGGGCCGAAAAGCGAGGGGTGTCGATGGCTAATGACAGAAACGGGGACGGATCTGGGGAGGAAGAGCCTCAAATTCAGTGGGTGCAGTTTCGCGTATACCCGACGTCCATGTTTCTTTCGGAAAACTTGATTAAGTGTGGGGTGTTAGGGACTTGAGTGTATAGTGTGATTGCGTGTTGGTTTGAGATTATGTGTGTTGTTTTATCTGTTATTCTTAGTATCTTGTGACGTATTGTGTGAAAGGGATATGACGTATTATTATTGTAGATTTGGGTGTGGAGTGTTGTTCTTTGAGTACAGTAATGGCAGTTGAGGAATTAGTTGATGAATAAAGATATTTTATCTAGGAATTATAGTTGTGAAGTGTATATAATAAACCCGTAGACAACGAAGCCAACGAACCTATTAAGTAAGAATAGGTTTGTAACAGTCAGCAGTTTTAGTTAGATAAATATTGGGTAAATTTATGCAGATGGAGCCTGAATTTAACCCCCGTTTTTGGAATCGTCTGGAAAGTCAGGGCGAAAGGAGTGTGATAGATTGGCTCATGAGTACCGGTCTCATTGCAGATAGAAACGAATGTGCCCATTGTAAGAAGGGTATGAACTTGTGTGCATGGGCAAATGCTTCCGATGGGTTTGCATGGCAATGTGGTGACAAAAGTCATGGCAATATTGTGCATAGTTTAAGGAAGGGGTCGTGTTTTAGTGACAGTAGATTGACGTGTGACATGTTATTGACACATTTTTGGTTAAGAAAAATTTTTTGGGACATATTGCAAAAGAAGTAAGCATTTTTCGGGGTACCGTAAAAGACTGGGTCAGTTTTTGTGGCGAGGTCTGTATGGAAGCGTGTGTTGTGAGGAGTGAGAGTTTAGGAGGAGTGGGTAAAATTGAGGAGATGGATGAATCCAAATTTCGGCAAGCAGAAGTATCATAAAGGCAAACGCGTAGAAGGAAAATAGGTTTTGGTGGGATTGAAAGAGGATCAAACAAAATCTTTTTCAGGGTTGTTGAGAACCGCGGTAAAGATGTCCTCCTGGCAATAATTAAAGAATTAGTGCAGCCAGGAACCACAATAATTTCTGATTGTTGGAGGTCTTACAACTGTAGGGTTTCACCACCTGAGGGTGAACCATACAATTGAGTTCAAACACTCTGAAACGGGCGCTTTTCCTAAGAAGCTAATATTATGTATAAATAAAACACAATCTTCACACGCCATATTGTTGTTGCCCGGTGATCACCCCCTCCGCCTCTCTATGAACACTCCCCCCCCCCTTGTATGTGCAGGTTATTTTAGATGTGTGGAAGCAACGAGTCTTTTAATTTTGTTATAATATATTTTCTTTTCCTTTCGGCGTTGCTTACATTTAACAGAATCTTCGGGCGTGTATTCAAAGTTTCAAGAAAAAATTAAAACCACATAGAGTGACGCCAATCTTCTTTTACCAAAATATTTTTAATCGGTATCATTTTCACTTACCCCCTGTTCATCCATTGTATCTCCTCAGGGCGATTCGGTGAGCACAGAGCACACAGGAGGACTATGCAACGTTTTTACACAGCAGGGTCAATGGCTGAGCTCGAATAAAACCAGTTATTCCCTTCACACACTTCTCAAAGTTCCAATAACGTCTCATCAAATTTAATAACAAATCTATAAAGTCTTGATCACTGAAAAGGTATAAATATATTATATCATTTACCAGACATTGACCACTATTGATTTTATGCTTTGAATGGCCTCGTTTAGATGTTGGTATCAGAAGAATTGAATGGTTCAACAGATTTAGAGTCGCTGCCCTAGCCTAACGGCCATTAGCAACTAACCAGGACACACATACAAGGTGTCTAAGGCCGACAGTCGTGAGGAGCAGCACAGTCCCTGGCCAATATGCAATCGACACACATGAATAGGCGTCGCCTATATTGTTTTAGATAACGGCTTTTTGGTTTAGATCCTTAAGTCGGCACAGAAATGCTGTTCTTTGAATCTGCAATGGCAACAACTATGTTACTGACTAAATAATTTCACACGGTAAATGTATAATGTTTCAGAAACGTTTTTGGTGAAATTACAGTGATATAGCTTAATTGTGACAATTTTATGTTTACTGTATCAGATAGACAGGAACTTGTTGCAAAGGAATCGTTGTTAATAAAAACTGACTGCATATCTAATCTAATATCTCGTAATGAAATCTTCAGATAACCTTTATATCTATGAGTTCAATTTAATCAATAATATTATCTACGAGTTCAATACATTCAATGTCTATCTTACTTTACTTCACTGTCGTTTGTTTAAAGTTAAATAAAACAGAATTACTTGTAATGGCCAGGGATTAAAAGCAATGCCATTAGTTGGAGTGTAAAGACCCGAGATTGGGTGCAGTGGCACGAGATTGGGTGCAGTGGCACGATACTGGGTGCAGTGGCACGAGATTGGGTGCAGTGGCACGAGATTAAGTTGATTAAGTGCATTACAATGATACGGTAATGGGAGCAGTGATATCACATGGGATTGTGTGAAGTGATATCACATGAGATTGGGTGAGTTATTTGACACAGGATTGGGGAAGTGATATAACACAGAATTTAGGGAAGTGATATGACACAGGATTGGGGGATGACCTGGGAATCAGCTTTCTAACATTACAAAATTATCAGGTTGTTTTTGTATCTTGTCAGGCTTTAGGATCTCGTCAGACCTTGAGATCTGGTTAAGCCTTATGATCTCGTCAGACCTTTAGATCTCGCCAGACCTCCTGATCTCGTCAGACCTTGAGATCTCGTCACTTTGACCACACACAAAAATTAATCATAAATTATGTTCCTTTCGCAAATTATTTAATTTTTTTTATTTTGAGAAATTTAAAAGTCCAAAGGCATTAGCGACATGACACGGGATTGGGAGCAATGCAATGAGAAAATAAATTTGGTGACACTTGACTGGGTCACGTGGGTATTACTTGACCCCTTTCATTATTTCAGTGGGTGCACTACGGCGCAACTCCCCAGGTTGGGCATTCATCTAACGGAGGGGCGACAAGAATTTTGCTTATTTACTTTAAATTATATGCCAACCCTGTCAAAATGAGTTTATTTTTTAAAAATTCAAATCTATTGTGTCGAAATTAGTTGGGAAGGATATTTTGTAATGAAATGGTAATTTTCGACGAGTCATGAATTCATGATCAGTAATACTTTATGATCAGTAATTCATGATCAGTAATAATTTATTATCAGTAATTCATGATCAGTAATAATTTATTATCAGTAATTCATGATCAGTAATAATTTATGATCAGTAATTCATGATCAGTAATTTTTTTTATGATCAGTAATTCAAGATCAGTTTTACTAAAACGTTTAGTTTAGAAAAAAATCCTCACATTGAATCACAAACAAAAATTATACGGAGAATTCCTAGTTTTAGAAAAATAATTGTAGCTAGTTAACTAATGGGCCTACTTAAAATATTACCATCGTGTTTAATCCGTGGGCCTCCTGACGTCACTAAGTGTGTCCATCTGACGTAGCCACACATACATTACACGCATAATGGAATCTTACTTTTTGAATTTTGTTATTACAATTTTACTTTTTTTTTTTCTCCAGAGAACAACAGAAATAGACCTATATAACAGAACAATTGAAGACCTTAGTGCTAAAAGTACTTAAGTCACAAAATAACCATTTTGAGATAATCAAGTTCAAATATTAAAAACGACCTTTAAATCAGGCAAGACATTCCATTATATTTCTGATTACTGCTACATATTTGTAGTGTTGTCATGAATAAATTTGCACATTTTTAAGCTTTAAACCCTCCTTTTTTTAAAGATATAGATAATTTAGTTTTTTGACTTAAGTACTTTTTGTCCTATTCCGTGACTTAGGTACTTCTTGCACTGAAAGCAAACACTGGACTTAAGCACTTTTTTAACAAAATCATGTTTTTAAATACATTTTATTATATTACTAACACACAAAAACACACTTTAGTTGGAAAATAATGCTACTCTCAGCACAAATTAAGATGGCAAATGCGTCTACTCAATGTCATCAGTGTCACTCTTGTCTTCCTCTGTATCTTTACCTTTAATAGTAAATAGTACTATAAAAGGTAACATCATCTGGAATATTGACATGCGTTAACAGTTCACATATGTCATTATATTTTGCTGTCTTGACAGGCAAAAAATTGATGTAAGCACGATCAGGTTTCGTTGAAAGGAGTGTTGAAAGTTTTTTCCCACGTTTAAAAGTATATATGACGTCTGAGCATTCTGCAGTCATAGAATTTCGGCTTAGTGGTACCTGACCTCTTTCAAATTTCGCCCCTCTAAACTCACTAATGCCAGTCACTGGTTTTAGCAAGGGGTCATATGCTCTTTTATAGTCAAGGACTTTAACAACAGGGGTTCCATCTTCCATCATGTTGTCTGTTAGTGGATGTTCCACGTAAACAACATTAAATGGCTTGTTGGTATCTGTGCTCTTTATAAGTGATACCCACTGTGACGGTAGAATGACCCGGTCTTTTTTCCGTCTCCTCTTTTCAATTCGTCCAAAATCCCGATCACAAGGCATTCGGCTATGTCCAGGGAGGGGATACTTAACATAAGCTTGTCTTAAAGAAACACTTTTATGCACAATGCTTTGTAGATAGGCAAAGATGTATCGGTTTTTATTCTGTGAAAAACAGTTATCCATGAATATTATTATCTTTGTAGTGGTAGCTGGAAGACAAGAAATGTAATGGTCTAGACATGAAATTACTTCATTGGGGCCTTTAGCTGCAAAATGTTCAGCATAAAGATACATTTGTGCAGATTCATTTACATTGTCATGAATACACAGGTTGTGGATCCACAGTTGGCGCTTATAATATTCTTGCCCAATGCCGGTTAGAGGTAGAGGTAAATTTTTTTCAAAGTCCATGCAGATCACTGCAGTGTCTTTACTTTGTTTTGCAGCTTCTGTGGCTTCTCTGATCTGCACATTAAATACATCAGCTTTCCTTATGTGAAGCTCATGCTGAAGTTTCAGGTCCTTAACAACGTTGGCATCATTTAAAGATTCTGCTGCTTTTATTTGTGCTTGAAATTTTTCACATTTATCACATATGTCACTCCGTGGAAATCCAAATTTAATATTGAATTCAAAGTTAAATATGTCATGGTAAAACCAGTATTTACACTCCGTAAGATCTGGATTTTCCTTTAAAAATAAGCGATGCATTTCTGCAACTGTCAAAGAGGAATCCAGGTACTTTTTGTGCTTGTTCTTTGCTCTGCTGTAGTGGCTTTCACGTGCAGGAAACAGTCTAATGTGGTCACAAACACGATCTCGGATTTTTTTATCAATTTTTCTATGGTTTCCATGTTTTCCTCTCCCATCTTTAATGGGGACAGAAAAGTTTAGTACTTTTCTCTTCAGCCTAGATTCCTTTATCCCATGCAAAGCAAGAAATGCTGCCTTGCAAATGGAAATAGTTTTGTCCAGTGCAGTGACTGAATATGAAAAGCTGCTTCGTTCTTTGCCATTTTCTTTTCTGGGCCTTCGACGAATACTAGTGTCATCGTTTACACTTATGCAACCCTGAAGATATATATTTTGAGCCTCATGATCTTTAAGACCATTAAATTCTGATAAAATTCTTTCCATCTCAAAATCTGTGAATTTTGTCAGACATTTACAACGACATTCTACTCTTGCAGGCTCCCTTGATGGCTTGACCTTGTTATCATAGGATGTGTGAGCTTCTCCTGAAATAATATGTTTTAAAATTTAATTCCATGGCATGGTCGATGTTATTTATCTTGTCTCATACTAATAACAATAGAACACTGCCCTTCAACTAAAATAGTAATCCGTTTTATTTTTCAGACACTTTATATAAAAATAAAAGCAGTGGTATACTACTTTAACTTTAAGTTACTGCTACTGCTACTACTACTAGTGTAATCTTAAGTACTAAATTCTATAGACTAGAATATTAATATAAAAATATGAAATAGAGTTGTGGGAGTAATATTGTTCTATTATATTTAAAAATGCTGACAATGTTTCAGTATCAGCTAAAAATACCTGGGCCTGGGTAAGACTAAGGTCTAAGTCTAATAATAGTAAGTAAGAGTTAATAGTAATAGTTATCGATCGGGGCATCTTGACCCAGTTTGCGATAGTGTAATTTTAATATCCCCACAACAGTAAATTGGTTTTAATAATATAAATATATTCTTACCTCTGAATTTAGCCAGCTTAATTACATTTCTTTTCCATTTTGATGGTGTTAGTCTTCTCTTTTTCGCTTTGGATTCATATTCAGGTTGGTCAGAGCTCGCCTCGTCCGCCATTTTATTCGAGGTTTGAGACAACTAAATGCAGTTAAGTGATTGGCCAAGGGGAGATAAGAACTTTTAGCACCGAAACATAGGACTTCAGTACTTTTTGTCCATTAAATTTGATCATTCTTATTTTTGGTTTGTATAAAAAGGGGACTTAGGTACATTTTAACGTCTCCAAATTTATGCTATATATATGGGGCTAAACCGGATAAGTAAAGGTCAACGTTTCGTTTGATTTTCAAAAAAATGTGACTTAAGTACTTTTAGCACTAGGGTCTTCAATTGTAACAGATCTATATAATAGAACAATAGGAATAGGCCTAAATAACAGAACAATAGGAATAGAACTATATAACAGAACAATAGGCAATAGGAATAGGCCTAAATAACAGAACAATAGGAATAGACCTATATAACAGAACAATTGGAACAGATCTTTATAACAGAACAATAGGAATAGACTTATATAACAGAACAATTCGAACATATCTATATAATATAACAATAGGAATAGGCATAAATAACAGAACAACAGGAATAGACCTATATAACAGAACAATTGGAAATATCTTTATAATAGAACAATTGGAAATATCTTTATAATAGAACAATAGGAATATGCCTAAATAACAGAACAATAGGAATAGGCCTAAATAACAGAACAATAGGAATAGGCCTAAATAACAGAACAATAGGAATAGGCCTAAATAACAGAACAATAGGAATAGGCCTAAATAACAGAACAATAGGAATAGGCCTAAACAACAGAACAATAGGAATAGGCCTAAGTAACAGAACAATAGGAATAGGCCTAAGTAACAGAACAATAGGAATAGGCCTAAGTAACAGAACAATAGGAATAGGCCTAAGTAACAGAACAATAGGAATAGGCCTATAGGGAGTCGGGATGGTGTTTTAACGTCCCAATATCTTCCCCCACCAATCCCGGGGAAGTGACGGACGCCTTTTAAGAGGGTGTCTACAGTGGGTTTCCACCCCACAGCTAGTTTGCGAAGTAGCTGGGACGAAACGGTTGTCTATGAGCAGCTTTACCAGGGCTGCGCCAGCGACTCCCACCTTAGTCTCTCGCCTCATATCCATTAATGGCAACTTGTAATCATGGTCCCTACCCTGTCTCTGCCTTTACTTCAAGCTGTAAAACGTCACACTTGGCAGCCCTGTAGGTGCTATTTTTATGCCGGAAGGTACCATGCATGTCCCTTGTCTCCCCCCCGCGGGGCACGCCATGGTGGTCTTGTTCCCCGGGGAACATCGAGGGGTCCGGTGGCCGCTTCCTAATCGGCAAGCCACAGGCTCGTCAACCGGTGCCCCGGGGAAGAACGGAACATTATAAATAGGCCGAATTATATATTGCGTGATATACTTTTTTTTTAAATGTTATAATTTTTTTTCTTGAAATATTAAAACAAATTTGTTATAGGCCTACTGCTCTTTTTATTTTTGTACATATGCTCCTTCTCTTTTTTGTTACATATGCTCCTCTTTTTTGTTACTTTTTGTTACATATGCTCCTCTTTTTTGTTACATATGCTCCTCTTTTTTGTTACATATGCTCCTCTTTTTTGTTACATATGCTCCTTCTCTTTTTTGTTACATATGCTCCTTCTCTTTTTTGTTACATATGCTCCTTCTCTTTTTTGTTACATATGCTCCTTGTCACTATATTCTCGTTGTTTTTTCATCCTTCTGAAAACGTTTGTCTCTTGGGGTAAAAATGCTCCAGGCTTAGATCTACTTGTTTCACCTCTAAATGAAGTTTCGTTGACCCACTATTTAATGTCAAGATGCACCTGAACGATGGTCAATAGATTTAATATAACAACGTTTTCCCAGATATACCATCTAAGCGTCAATGGACAAATAACAAAATTAGATTTCGTTTTCCTTCTGAAATTGTAACCATTATCTCAAACAGAACGGCCCAACACCTTGTGTCCAAATGGTTCCTGGTGCCCAACACCTTGTGTCCAAATGGTTCCTGGTGCCCAACACCTTGTGTCCAAATGGTTCCTGGTGATTATTTGTCTGCGATCCCTGTGGTTAGTAAAAGAGTTCTTGGCTGTGTCAGGGATAAGACAAGTGGTCTGCATATCAAAACAAATATCCATAGCATGTAAAGATTTATTTCTATGGTGTAACAACGTGTACTTCTGTAGACCTGCTCATGATTTCTTTACAACTAAAAATTGGGTTTTTAAAAAGTATCCATTTTTATTCAGAAAACAAAAAAGTCACACACAAGAAAAAATGTTAACAACATAATGGTTTTATTAATTTTTTTGGGGCAATATATTACATAGCATTCATTACCTTTTTATTTTTACAGTTTCAATAACCAGACAGCCAATATGGATACAAACAGTTCCAATAACCAGACAGCCAATAAGGTTACCAACAGTTTCAATAACCAGACAGCCAATAAGGTTACCAACAGTTCCAATAACCAGACAGCCAATATGGTTACCAACAGTTTCAATAACCAGACAGCCAATAAGGTTACCAACAGTTTCAATAACCAGACAGCCAATATGGATACAAACAGTTCCAATAACCAGACAGCCAATAAGGTTACCAACAGTTTCAATAACCAGACAGCCAATAAGGTTACCAACAGTTCCAATAACCAGACAGCCAATATGGTTACCAACAGTTTCAATAACCAGACAGCCAATAAGGTTACCAACAGTTTCAATAACCAGACAGCCAATATGGATACAAACAGTTCCAATAACCAGACAGCCAATAAGGTTACCAACAGTTTCAATAACCAGACAGCCAATAAGGTTACCAACAGTTCCAATAACCAGACAGCCAATATGGTTACCAACAGTTTCAATAACCAGACAGCCAATAAGGTTACCAACAGTTTCAATAACCAGACAGCCAATAAGGTTACCAACAATTTCAATAACCAGACGGCCAATAAGGTTACCAACAGTTCCAATAACCAGACAGCCAATATGGTTACCAACAGTTTCAATAACCAGACAGCCAATAAGGTTACCAACAGTTCCAATAACCAGACAGCCAATATGGTTACCAACAGTTCCAATAACCAGACAGCCAATAAGGTTACCAACAGTTCCAATAACCAGACAGCCAATATGGTTACCAACAGTTCCAATAACCAGACAGCCAATATGGTTACCAACAGTTTCAATAACCAGACAGCTAATACTGTCACAACGATAGTGTTAATTTTTTTTTTCAATGATTGCCTTTATGAAAGCCAAAAGTATATTGCTCAAGTTTGAAAGAAGCAATGAAAGAGGAAATACAAGACTATTAAATTATAGAAAAGCTACCATCCCTATTCCTGACAACAACATATAGCTCTCAGATAACAGCAAACAAGCATCTCATTTATAATAAATACTATCTTCATTAAAACAGGCATTTAAAATAAAACTAATATTATTTTAAAAAAATTAAAACAACTTTGAAAAATCAGGAACAAATGTATAGGTAAATGGAATAGTGTCTGAATGAATTTATTGGGTGATTTAATGGAATGGTGTCTGAATGAATTTATTGGGTGATTTAATGGAATGGTGTCTGAATGAATTTATTGGGTGATTTAATGGAATGGTGTCTGAATGAATTTATTGGGTGATTTAATGGAATGGTGTCTGAATGAATTTATTGGGTGATTTAATGGAATGGTGTCTGAATGAATTTATTGGGTGATTTAATGGAATGGTGTCTGAATGAATTTATTGGGTGATTTAATGGAATGGTGTCTGAATGAATTTATTGGGTGATTTAATGGAATGGTGTCTGAGACAATTGATTGGATGAAAAATGGAATAATGTCTGAATGAACTGATTGGATGAATAAATGGAATAGTGTCTGAATGAATTGATTGGATGAATAAATGGAATAGTGTGTGAATGAATTGATTGGATGAATAAATGGAATAGTGTGTGAATGAATTGATTGGATGAATAAATGGAATAGTGTGTGAATGAATTGATTGGATGAATAAATGGAATAGTGTCTGAGGGAATTTATTGTATGAATAAATGGAATAGTGTCTGAATGAACTGATTGGATGAATAAATGGAATAGTGTGTGAATGAATTGATTGGATGAATAAATGGAATAATGTGTGAATGAATTGATTGGATGAATAAATGGAATAATGTCTGAATGAACTGATTGGATGAATAAATGGAATAGTGTGTGAATGAACTGATTGGATAAATAAATGGAATAGTGTGTGAATGAATTGATTGGATGAATAAATGGAATAATGTCTGAATGAACTGATTGGATGAATAAATGGAATAGTGTGTGAATGAATTGATTGGATGAATAAATGGAATAGTGTGTGAATGAATTGATTGGATGAATAAATGGAATAGTGTGTGAATGAATTGATTGGATGAATAAATGGAATAGTGTCTGAGGGAATTGAGTGTATGAATAAATGGAATGGTGTCTGAGGGAATTGAGTGTATGAATAAATGGAATAGTGTGTGAATGAATTGTTTGGATGAATAAATGGAATAGTGTCCGAGGGAATTGAGTGTATGAATAAATGGAATGGTGTCTGAGGGAATTGATTGGATGAATTCATGAAGTCCAAAGGCATGATGCACATACTGCACTCTGTAGAATTGTGAAAACATTTAATTCACCCAACTACAGAGTGCAAAAATGTTCTTTCCAATGTTGAAGTTTTGACTTTTGGACCAGGTTAAATTCATTCTGAAATTTAAAATTAAAATAATTTTTCAATTATTGTGCATGTAGTGTGTAGTGTGTTGTCTGGATTGTGGTACACAATTTAACTACAGCTGTATTTTTTATTTATATTCAAAATTGCTCATTTAAAAAAAAAAATAATAAAAAACAATGATTAAACTCTATTCAACCTGAACTTTAATTACAAGGAATAAGAGATTTTGTCAACCTGATTTTTTATTACAAGGAATATGAGATTTAATTCAGAATTGAACTCATTTAACAACCACCATTTAAAAGTAAAAAATATTTATTTACACTATTGTAGAATATTGATTGGAAATTAGATGTCATATCAAAATAACTTGGGCCGATATAGATTAATCTCTATGATTAAAATTATAAGACCACATGTTTAAATACCTTTATGATGTGATCTGTTAGTCTAATTCCTTGATGGAAGCCATGGATCCCATCTGGCTGACCGTCATGTTGTCCAGACTTCCCTGGCTCAAGAATGTTGAAACTGTAGACCCTGTGCTCTTATGGCGCCTGCTAAATATTGGAATCTTGAAGTTTGCCATGGGATGAGTACACAATGGAACTTTAGCTGGAGATGTAACAATTTGCTGAGACATATATTTGAATCAGGACCATATGGGAATCACAATAATGTAACATGAGGACCACAGTAACTTAACATCAAGGCCACAATAACTTAACATAAGGATCACAGTAACTTAATATAAGGGCCCCAGTAACTGAACATGAGCACCACAGAAACGTAATATGAGGAAAAGGGGCCGAATGAATTTAGGCTTCGGTTTCGGCGCTGAAAGTCGCCATTTGATCCCTTTCGGCCTAGTTTGGGTTTCAGCTGAAAATGAAAAGTTTATTTTCAGTTTAATTTTAGTTTCAGCCAAAAGTAATTGAGACTTTCGGCTATCTGGCCGAAAGTGATAGAGGTTTTCTGTCATCTACCAGAAGTCAGACTGTCTGTCTCTTGGCCAGAAATCAGATATTCATTATTGCTCGATGTCTTGCTGTCATCCTATGTTACATGGCCAATACTTTGTGAAAACTGCTCAAAGCTGCATGATGACGTACTTGATAATAATGATTATAATTGTTATTGACGAAATAACATGCATGTGGGTGTACCAGGGGTTTGTATAATAATAACGTAGTAGACCTACTGCAGACCTGTTTACTTTTATAATTATGGCAACCAATTCAGATTTCTTTTGCAATTTTCCATTGAGAGCCATCTTAAACAACAATGTAAAAGACCTGGTTAAAAATAATATTTTCCCTCATTAATGTGGATCAGGGAGGTTGGTCACAGAACCAAATAATTACGTCCCCAGCACTGAAAGACTAATAAGTTGGTACTAGGTTAAATTTTAATACAGCGATATCTTACCAGCTATTTATGAAAACACAAAGCATTAGTGAGACAATAACCGCTAAACATTGAGTAACATTTTTATAGCCTTAATAACTGATATTTAGGTGACACTTGGCTTTTTTAGAGCCACAATAATTATTGTAGATTGTCTAGGAACAGTTGTAATTATATTTATTTATTTAGGCATTTTTATATAGCGCTTATCATAAAACTCTAAGCGCTTTACAATTATTAAAACATGTAAACTAAGTAAATACAAATGAGACACTAGGATAGTAACTACTATTCTATAGAAACAATGAAAATGGCTATAAAACGAGGACACTTTGACACTTCAGGATCAACCCGAAACAGAAAATGAGGTAGGGCAAGGAGGGTGCATCACAGGTCATAGGCGGACCTAAACAGATGAGTTTTAAGGGACTTTTTGAAAATGGACGAGGTTTCACAATGACGGATATGGAAGGGGAGCTGGTTCCAGAACGTGGGCCCATGGAAGCAGAAGGAGCGTTCACCGATGGTCTTAGTTTTAGTTCTTGGGATTGAGAGGGTTCTACTGTCAATGGAAGAACGTAGTTGTCTTGTGGGGATGTAAGGAAGCAACAGTTCAGAGAGATAGACAGGAAAGTGAGGGTCAGTGAACGAGTTGAAGCAAAGATTGGCAGACTTGTATTTGATGCGAGAGGATATTGGAAGCCAGTGGAGTTGCCGCATGTGTGGTTGAATGTGGTCATGTTTCTTTAATTTAAAAATGAGTCTGCATGCTGAGTTCTGTGCCTTCTGAAGTTTTTCTATGTGGTGTTGAGGAATGCCTGAGAGAAGAATGTTACAGTAGTCAAATTTTGAAAGAATGAGTGAAGAGACGAGAGTTTTTGTGGCATCAAAGGAGAGGAGGTGTCTAATGGTGCTGATTTTTCTAATTTCGTTATATGCTGATCTGCATATATTCGTGACATGTTTGTCCATGGAGAGGGTGTCCGTAAGCGTGACTCCAAGGTTTCTCTTACCACTCTACTTTAAAATACATGTTTAACAAATTTAAATTACTTTTTAATTAAAATGGTAAAACCAAAGTATTCATTAGATGTTTATTTATTTATATTCATGGTGATATCATTATTTATAAAAAGAATGTAACTATTGATACTTTCCCCATCATTTTCCAATTTATGCAGAATGTATGCGTGAAAGAATTTCAAGATATCTAAATATTTCGTTTTCTGTCGAAAGTCTCATTACGCTTTTGGTTTCGGCTTCAGTTTCGGCCAAAAGTCTGGTTAAGCTTTTGGTTTTGGCTTCGGTTTTGGCAGAAATAAAAAAAATCACTTTTGGTCAGTCTCAAAATGAGGACTAATGTAATGTAACATGAGAACAACTGTAATGTAACGAGGACCACTGTAGATTTTTAAATGAGGATCCTGTTATTTAACTGTCTTTGATGCCACACAATATTTCAAATAGTATTTAGTATGATTGACAGATCCATGTATGAGCAAAGCACTGGAAAAACTAAGGCATATACATTAAGCTACATACGCAGTAATTCATAATGTTTCCTTTAATAGAATGAACCTGTTATTTAAACAAAGCTAATTTGAATTTTCCCATACAAATGTTAATTACCTCGTCCAGGATATCCGCCAGATGGCTGACTTGAACTATAAAACCTGTTGTCATTTTGACTGCTAGATGACATGGCATAGTTCGATCTTGGTCCGTTCTGTATCCATAATAAACAACTGATAGAATGACATACATAAAACATGTCTTTATGGTAGTAATGGGGTAACTAATGCTAAACAAATTGTCATTCTAAACATTTTTCATCCCATTAATCTTCTCCAGCCAATGAACCTCTGTCAGGTCAAATTAACTTCATTATCAAGAACTATTATAAACTAAATGCCACCAAAAGGAAAGAGAGATAATATGTAAATGCCTTAGCCTAGGGAGTTTGAGGTAAATATTTCGTGACCACCTTTAAAATTTGGATATCAAACTTGGAAATGCTTTGACAGAGGTGGCAAGCCGGAAGGAAAAAAAAAATTCCCAGAAAGCTACACTAAACAAGTATAAAAATATTTTAAAATTGTAAAAAATAACTTTTCAAATTTTTTATTTTTTCAACATCACAAAATTTAATTGCTAATTTTTAAATAATAAAATTCACTCATTTCTTTTAAGCAATGTTCTCATTTTTTTAAATATCAAACCAATGCAATATTGCCATATTCCTAATCTTTAGGCCAAGACACTGATCTAGGCTATTATTTTGAGCTTGTCTTACACAAATTTTTAAATAGTAAAGAAAATTAATATAAAGTTTCATTATTGGGTTTGCAGAACTTGTCTACACACTTAGGTGAACACAATTGTTTGATACAAATGAGGCTAAGATATTTGTCCACAGACTTAAGGTGAACACAATTTTTTTTATACAAAAGATGCTAAGATATGTTAAATGCTAAACGTATTTATTATTGGAATAAATTCTATATTAACAAACGTCCATAACAAAATGCTTCATTCAAGAATATTTCAATTCTTACATATGCTGCCACTGTCATAGCACCGAACCCTGCACTGAGGTCCGCAACAGCAGCATTAGAAACACCATGCCTGTGACTGAAATTAGATTATGTAAATGGCTTGGACAGTGAATTTATGTGATTTTTTTCCACATATCAACTTTATAATAAAACAACATGTAACATAACATGTAGTGTTTTTTTGTGTCATTGTCATTTCTACATCACTTATTAATATCAAATTGTTCATTATTATTCAATGATATTAATTTTAATTAATTATAACTTTCCACTTTAACACTTTGATGTAAATCTTAGTAGATATTTAAGCTTGTAACATTGAATTCATTTAATTCTCCTGTAAAGTCATTGAAACAACCAAGCATGATAAAACAACTAGGCATGATAAAATAACAAGCTATAATGAAACAACTAGGCATTATGAAACAAAACAACTAGGCATTAAGAAACAACTAGGCATGATAAAAAAAACTAGCTATTATGAAACAACTAGGCATCATGAAACAACTAGGCATGATGAAACAAAAAGGCATGATCAATCAACTAGGCATCATGAAACAGCTAAGCATGATAAAAAAAAACTAGCTATTATGAAAAACTAGGCATGCTCAAACAACTAGGCATCATGAAACAACTCTTTGTCACATAAATACCTGATGCAGTCTATGCCATTACATGAGTGTGGTGTTTTGGTTTTTCTTGGCCGATCTTTCCTAGGTGGCAACATCTGATCAACAGGAACCAAAAGTCCACACTCATAGCATTCACTGGAGGTCACACCCATCTGAGCAAAACCACTGGTGGAAAAATAAAATTATGGAAGAAGCTTGTTGCTCAGTAGACTGAAGAACCAAAAATTTCCTCTTAAAACGTTCATGTTTTATTTCTTAGATCATATTTTCTAGGAAGCATACTGAACTTTAGTATTAGCTACTTGTGCGGGAATTCATAGCTTCTCATCTAAACGATTAAAAAGATTCACCAAGATATAAAGTAATATAAGATAAGATGATAAGATTCTTTTATTGATCCAAACAAATGGAAATGTTTTTTGATTGCATTGTACATATACATTTTCAGCACATATATAAATATATATTTTAATAAATTCCGCATGTTTCAAATAAAACAATTTAAACACAGGATCTACATTTAATTAATTTCACTAGTGAAAAAAAAAACAGCCATTCAGTAAACTCCCTTCATCACAACAGGGACTTATTAGTTCTCATTTAGATTTGTGAATTCTGGGGGAGCATGCTAATAAATTCGCACAGATTGGGGAACAAAAGAATTTGTATATGTTTCAGTCAAAAAACATTTGGCTGTAACATACCACCCTCTTCATCAGAGATACCTAAGATCAGCTTGATCAGGGTGAATTCTTTCTCTCGAAGAAAGGACCAAAACATACGAAAATTCATTTGTACCTCAAACTATCAGAATTTACCAGGCTGTTAAAAGCAGAATCTAAATCAACACGTTGAAAGCCAACATTTTCACTGAGTGAAATTCCATGGAACATGGTTGCTGTTTTTTGCATTTGAGAAATAATTTTAGATGTCGTGTGTTAAATTGTTCTATTTTAAAAATGTTTGTCTTTGTAAGAATATTTATGTATGTGCTGAAAATGAACATCTCCTTGGAAATAAAAATAACCTTTCCATTTATTTGGTTTAATAAAAGAATCTTATCTTTTCATATATTCTATAAATTCTTATATCTATAACAATTTTGAAAAATGTTTTATGAAATTGTTATCTAGTCCAAAATATCATTTGTAAAAAAATTAATCAAATTCTAGCTTATAATGAGGATCATATATGTGTTAGTAGAAAAACTAGTTTTAAAATATTGGCAACACAATAATCAATTGAAACTTACGTGAACTCATTGCCACAGTCACAAACAAACTTTCCCACTCCCCATTCCATGTCTTTAGGTATGGGATCATACCTAATTTTACATCTATGACATTTAGACACCTGCAGATGGAATCATACCGAATTTTACATTTATGACATGACATTTAGACACCTGCAGATGGGATCATACCGAATTTTACATCTATGACATGACATTTAGACACCTGCAGATGGGATCATACCGAATTTTTCATCTATGACATGACATTTAGACACCTGCAGATGGGATCATACCGAATTTTACATCTGTGACATGACATTTAGACACCTGCAGATGGGATCATACTGAATTTTACATTTATGATATGACATTTAGACATCTGCAGTGAATTAAATTAAATCCCAAAAACATTAGGACTATATTAAGGGGAAAGAATACTTTTTAAGTGTGCATGTTGTCTTTTAACTTCATTTCAATAGGTAAGTAAATAACTTACAAAAACTAAATTATTTTTAAAATTAAATTTACAGCCAAATATAATTGTGGTTCTTTATACAAAGAAAGATTTCAATAAGTAACTGGTGACACAATAATAAGTTAAAGAAGAACAAATATTTTTAAAATGAAATCATGTTTTTCATGCTGTATCCTCCTCACTTGTCATTTTAATTTATATTTATAAATGTTACTGAGTTAAAATTAATTACACAATTTTGTAATAACACTAAAGAGATTCCACAGTTTGATTATTATTCCCCAAAAAAACATGTCTAATAGATCTCACCTCTTTACGCTCAGGTACTTTCATCCACCATGATCTACTGCATCCTTGACAAGCAAACTGCCTGACTGTAGCTTTTATTCCATTGACCAGTAAACTTGCAACTCTCTCGGCATCCACCTTCAAAGCCCGTACATAATCAGGATCCTATTTAATCAAGATTTAATTAACAATCTGTTAGATCATAGGTTTGCAGAAAATATTTGGCATTTAAATTTAAATGTTAATTTTTTATGTTTTTAAAACAGAAAATTCATAATAAATATAATAAAAAAAGCCAGTCATTATGCATGCACATTTTAAGAATCATATCATAATTATTGTTGCATTTATGGGCTTGGTTAAAGACATAAAAGAATGACAGACTACATCTTATACAGCACAATATTAATATTTTGTAATATAGTCACAATCTAATTTACAATTTTATAATAAGGGCAGATTCTTAAAAGTACTCATAATATTACCTCTTTTAGGTACTTAAGAACTTTGTCTTCATCTTCTGCAAATATAAATACCATTTTTACGGTTGTTAGTACACATAAAAAAGGAGCTTAAAGAATGAGAAGCATTGTCACAGATTAAGATTGTTGCAAGAAACATTTGTGTGCATTTTCATTCAAAATTTTTTATTAAAAGAGTTGTTTAAAAATTTGTTTTACTCGGTTGAGTTTCGATAAAATAAAATAATTTTAATTTTGTATGGATTCTAATTCAAAACAAAAGTACCTTTACATTCCATGTAATAGTTTTAACAACCTCAAGAAAGTTGTTAGTACACATAAAAAAGGAGCTTAAAGAATGAGAAGCATTGTCACAGATTAAGATTGTTGCAAGAAACATTTGTGTGCATTTTCATTTAAAAATTTTTATTAAAAGAGTTGTTTAAAAATTTGTTTTACTCGGTTGAGTTTCGATAAAATAAAATAATTTTAATTTTGTATGGATTCTAATTCAAAACAAAAGTACCTTTACATTCCATGTTATAGTTTTAACAACCTCAAGAAAGTAAAAAATTGAAATTAATACCACGAACATCAATCAGGTTAACCATCAGTATAGCATAGTAACTGTTCTACTGTCTATATAATAAAAAATTATTCAGGCATACCATTTAAAATAAAATCAAGGGCTTCTTGTTCTCCACCAAAATCCTCAATAAGCTTTTGTGCTGTCCCCTGATTTAATCTACCTTTCAAGACTTCACGAAGTCGGCGAGCCTAGAATAAAAAATATATTGTGTAAAGACAATTCTTAGAAATGCCATATTAGAGTTATACATATTATGAAATTCATTACTTATAATATTAATTTATTTGTCAATCCGATGTTTAAATCCATTTCTAACATGACAAGAAAAATAGGAATCATATACCATACCATTCCTACTTGATGCATTGTATATCAAACCTTTCCTATTGTGCCTACCCATGTATAGTCCTACTCCCTGAACCAAAAAAATAATTTATTTTTATATTATTTATCAAAGGAAAATTACTTATGCAAATATTTTAAATGTTATTGAGACACTCAAAATATTTTATATCACAAAATATGATTTTAAAACGTAGATATTAAATAAATAAAAATTATAAATGTAATATAAAAATATAGGCCTAATACAAAATGTGGGGATACTTCAATTCTGTACAATTAATCTAAAATCTACTAGACTTATTTTTTAGCATAAACAAGAAGGATGCAGTTTAAGGTAAAAAAAAAGAAGAAACATTTTTCCTGCTGAACAAATTGATACAATTTTTACTTGGCTAACTAAGCTAAGGCCAAGTTAAATAAGTTAAGTCCAATGAGTATTAAATTAATTTACGCACAACCCTGTGTCAATATCCCACAACCCTGTGTCAATATCGTTAGCATATTTTATGGATTTAAATAATATATTAAAGCTTGATTTAGCACAAAGTAGCAGAGAGTGATAAAAGAATCATGAGTAGTACTTTTTTTTTATCTGGTACAATTTCTTAAATTGAATGGTTTTTGTCCCAACAACAAAAAGAGGGTATTTGCTTAAAAAATGTTTTTAATAATGAAATAAGTTGATTATTGATTAAAAATAAGGGATTACCTTAAAGTTAAAGCTTTATACTTTATTGAAGTGAAACTTTATTATAAAAAGTTTGTGACAAAATAACTAAGTGCTGTGACTAAGACTAAGAGTGAGTAACTTCTTTTATCTCCTTGCAGCCCTCTCGGATACTACATTGCAGTATTGCAGCTAAGTTAGCTAAGTGTTATTTTGATATAATTCTGCTTTAACTGTTGTTTGTCCGCTGATACTGATACTGAATGAATGTTTTTTGCAGACACATTTCACACATTCGTGTTTATATGTTGCATTCAGGTTTCCCCATACTTTGTTTCATTCATTTTCGTATTATTTTATACATAGATTATAGACAGTTTAAATTTGTATGTTCCTCAGAATTATTATGTCAATAAATGCAATGTCATGTCAATTATAGAAAATTTAGGATTTAGGACATGAAATTGAAAGTAAATATAAATAGGCATATTTCATGTCAATAATCAATAATAATGAAGTCAACTCTTTTGAATAAGCACACCATATTTTAACCAATCCCCTTGTTTATAAAGAACTGTTTGAAAGTATTTAAAAATTTCAATAAAAAATCGAAAGAAATCACTAAAATTTAATATAATTAATTAGGATATATATTTAACAGTTTAACAACACTTGACAACATGACAACAGTAGTTTACCTGGATCTCGTTTTTATCTTGGGACATATTTTCCTACACTAACTACACCACTTGAGCTAAAACAAACTGTAACTAGACACTGTGTAGTTAAGAATTTGGTAGGCCTATATATTTCTCATGTATTATACTACAACACTGAAAACAGCTTTTCTTCTAAGTAAATATTGAGCATACATGGATTACGTTTTTTCTTGTAGTCGCTGACCAGTTGGTCTATTTCCTGGAAATGAACTTACATTTTCTATTTTTAGTAACTTTGTCTGACAAGGGAAACAACTAGCAACAAATATTTTGGATAGTGTAAACTCAAGAATAGTGCACCTTTGTTTCTTCAAAGCTTTCTCTCCTCTTCTTAGTCTTCACTTTTTCTCTCTCCCTTTCTTCCCCATACTCTCTCACTATCTCTCTCTCTCTCTCTCCCTCACTCTCTCTCCCTCTTTGGTAATAAGGGGAGAGACTGCAATCAGGTTAGCACAATATAAAATGAGCAAAACAGAGTAGGGTTAAACCTGAAAATAGAAACGCAACAAAACAACGAACGTGTCGACAGAAAGCCTTCTTCAACGAACGAAACAACCGAAAAAAAACGGTATAAAAGTAAAAATAACGATAAAAATAAGAAATAGCACTTAGCTTGGAAGTAGTATCCGTCGGGATTAAATAGGGAAGAGCGAAAGAAAAGAGGAGAAAACAGTCCACTGCGATAGGTCAGGACGAGGAGGGGTGGAGTTAGGGTCAGGCTGTGAAAAGGGACATAACATTCATCCCAGTGCCATAAGTGTGCCCTGTGTTCCAAATTCACCCGGCTGGGTGTGTTCGTGCTAGCCACGAGCGCACTTATTGAAAAGACCGTCTTGCCCTGGTGGTCGCTACTATTGAAGTGTTTGGAGATGGGACACTGTTTATCTTGCGTAATGTTACAGAGGTGTTCGGTAACCTGTCCGAGAGACGGCGTCCAGTCTCACCTATGTACGTCATCTGACAGCGGGTGCAGACAATGGCGTAGGCAAAATTGCGGCTCGTACAAAGAAAGCCGTCGTGTATCTGAAAACTACCATTGGGGAAACGTATGTGTTGAGTCTGAATGACAAAAGGGCGCGTCCACATGGCTTAGTCCCAAAGTGAGAGGGGGCAGCCTTGATACGACTGCGCCCAAGGAGGTCTCTCAGATTTGTATCCCATCTGACAATTTAATAACCATATGAAGTGCAAAATATGTTAGTTTGAGTATGGAAGGGACTACAATTTATTGAAATCTGATTGGTGGAGGGGTTGGTCGCTTTGCCCCAAGCAGCACAAGATACGTCTCAGAATAAAGGAATGAATTTGATAAATAATTAACCTTCTTTAGTACATTCATATCGGAGGTAGGAAATAGGATGTGTACATGTTTACGTGGATGACAATATATTAAAATTCTATGTTATTACATTTGTAAAAAAAGAGATGCTACATTCTCTTTTTACAAATATGTGTATGTTCATTTTGTCCAAGGCAGCACAAGATACGTCTCAAAATAAAGCCATGATTTTGATCAATAATTAACCTTCTTAGGTACATACATATCGGAGGTAGCAAATAGGATGTGTACATTTTTACGTGGATGACAATATATTTAAGTCCTATTGTATTTCACTTGTGAAAGAAGAGATGCTACATTCTCTTTTTACAAAGGTGTGTATGTTTATTTTGGCTCAAGGCAGCACAAGTTAAGTCTCAAAATAAACCAATGAATTTGATAAAAATTTAATTTTATTGGGTAAATACATGTCGGAGGTAGGAAATAAGATGTGTAAAATATTACGTGGATGACAACAGAGTTAACTCCTATGGTATTACATTTGTGAAAAAATAAGATGTTACATTCTCTTTTTACACATATTGGTACGTTCATTTTGCCCCAGGCAATACAAGATACTTCCCACAATAAAGCAATTAATTTGATTAATAATTAATCTTCTTGGGTATATACATATCGGAGGTAGGAAAAAGGATGTGTAAATTTTTATGTGGAAGACAATATATTTAAATCCGATGGAATTACATTTGTGAAAAAAGAGATGTCAAATTCTCTTTTTACAAATAAACATATGTTTTCCAATTAAGAAAATCAATGGCATTAACAAATATTGGGTACATTTATATAAGTATATCCATGAATATCAAAACCTAATCATGTTACACTTGAAAATTAAATTATGTCAAATGAAGATGGGTTAATATTTTCTTTTTTTAAGAATGAAAATATATATTTTTTGTTACTTAGCAAAAAGTAAAGTAGTGTGTATTTTTTTGAGAATAACAATTAATTTTTTTTTAAAGAGTCAAATCTGATATAGGCGTGAAAAACAGTTGCGAGATTTTTCTTAGATAAAAGAATTCCTTTTTTTACGATTTTCTGATAATGCATAATTTTAAAAATGTGTTTAAATTTTTGATGAAGATATCAATATATTTCAAATTCCTGTAATGCAAAATATATTTATATCATATATAGAGTTTTTATTGTAAATTTAATATTAGGTTTTTAAAAAAAGTTTAGAGAAAAAAGTTGTATTTCAAGGGCACAAAACGGGGTAAATCTAAAGGTTTTCTCTAGCGTAGTAATTGCCCCTCAATTAACTTCTTTAGTGACAAAATTGATATAATTAGTGATAATTTAGACTGGGTAATTTAAGGTCATGTTTAGAGGGGGGAAAGAATGCAGGGTACGCAAATGATGTCAGAAAGCTAAATATCATTACATTTCAAAAGTTATGAATTGGGATGAGTTTTTGGAATAGCAGTTTGAAATTATTGCAAAGGATCTACCATTATTAACCCGATAACATCGGGTCATTTATTCTAGTTGTTAAGAACAAGTTGTTATCCTATGGCGAATCCTGCAGTACAAATTGATTCGTTTTGATCTTCTTGAGCTCCATAAATCTGAAAGTATGTGTCCACCTAAATTAACAGCTCTTAGTAATTTATTCACAAAATATTGGTCTTTATTTATCATCAAAGTTTATGCATGCATTTATTTGAATTTTTAACACAGTTTGGATGAAATAATTGTCACGCAATTTTTTAAAAGTTGTATGACAATTAAATTTCTTTGATCCTTGCAATAGGATTTTGAGCTGACATTTTCTTAACTCTGGAATTTTTTTTTATCAGCTCAAGTTTGGATTCTAGCAAAATTTAAAAAAAGGAGGAGGGTTAGTTGAGGGGGTGTTAAAGTTATTAAAGAAATGTGTTTATTATAGTCCCTAATTCAGCTTAATAATTCGGCAATAGAAATGAAAGTGCCATATACATAGCTGCAGAAGTGTGTGGCAACATAGTTGTAAAAGAGTTTGTTGCAGTGGCGTAGCTTGGGGATGTGGTGGTGCGGAGCAAATCGGGCGACACAATCTCGGGGGGTTACACCAATTTTTTAATATTAAATTATTAGCTCGGAGCTGTAAGAAACTTAAACAGTTCCGCTCTAGCTCCGGGTAAAAAGACACTGCTCCAGACCGCCGCTTTAACTCTTTGTAAAAAGACACTGGTCCCTGCAATACACACGACTGACATAAGTAAAAGACAAACAATATTTTGGAATCAATCAAATAGAAAAGTTTTATTTAAAGAGTATTGAAAAAATCAAGTAATCGCTAAACATTTTTTTTTTTAAAATGCAAGAATTGTGTACCTTTCTCGTATCAGTGAAATGATGTATCTGTCGCGTTTGTCACATATGTGTACCTTGCACCAATGCATGTGCTAGGGCAATTCGTACTATCATTCTATAAAGTACAAAGAACATACTATGACGTAACTTTAATTCCATCATCCATCACGTGGTGCACATGTGGTTAATTAAGAAAATTAGCAGTGGCTGAATTCTAAATTAATCCCTTTGGTTATGTGTTTACAGAAAAGAATTTCATACATAAATTAATATACAAAAATGAGACCTACAATAAATATAAAATAACATATAAATTAGAAAGGATTGTGTGGCGAGAAAAAATTATCAACTTTTTTGTCAATCTTTATTTTTAGCATGTCCAGAAAAAATTAAATATCCTCTAACTATACTTATCCCCTTAACAATAATCTAAATATCAGATAATTATATAATTGAAGGTAGAGACCGACCGAAAGTGATTTTTTTAATTCGGCCGAAACCGAAAATAGGCCGAAAGTTAAAAAATGACTTGCTTCCGAAACAGAAGCCAAAACCGAAAATGAAATATTTAGATATTTTGAAATTCGTTACCGCATACAATCTGCATACATCGAAAATGATGTGGGAAAGTATTAATATTTACATTCTTTTTATAAAAATGAGATAATCGTGAATATTAATAAATAAACATCTAAAATAGGGGTCTCAAACTCGCGGCCTGCCAGCCATTTGTGACCCGCAAGACGATATTTTGCGGCTCGCTACATGACAGAAAAGTTTAGTGTTAATGCGCCATCCCGTTTCCCCCATTCTCATATCTATAACGTGACTCTCCACGACGGTTTCAGTCGAATCTCACCGACTAGTCTAATTCTGATTATTTTTAAAATGTTGCTATAAATTATTATTTTTGTATGATGATTATAATGATAAGAACCGTTTTAAAATCGGAATAAAAGTTTTTTTATATTTTAGCTTTTCATGAGACAAACATGGCAAAGAGTGCGGCTTTGAGAAAAGTTTTTAAAAGTAAATTGGCGGGTAATGCCAAACAATAATCGTGTTAATCGTAGCAATCTGATACATTATCAAACGATCCCTATTTAAATTGCTACTAGTGTTATGAGTGAGGGAAATTCCTAGCCTGTCAGCTTGGTTACTTTCAAAATCTTCTTCTTATGTCTTTTAACCCAGTCTGGGGCATAGGCCATCCACAAGAATTCTCCATTCATCACGGTCCTGTGCTTTCCTTTCCAGTTGTTTCCAGGTGTATCCCATAATTTGCGTGTCTGCCTATAGCTCGCGTCTCCATGTATTCTTTGGCCTTCCTCTCTTTCTTTTTCCCTGTGGATTCGATGTTAGGAGTAGTCTGGTAATGCTATCTGGGGTTTTTCGGAGAGTATGTCCTATCCATCTCCATCTTTTCTTTAAGATGTCTTTGTTGATGGGCACCTGGTGAGTCCTTTATAGTAGATCTTTGTTGGTGATAATAGTTGGCCATATGATGTTCAGGATCTTTCTAAGGCATGTTTGAGCAGATTGTCTTCTTCTATATCTTAAGGGCCCAC